CTTTTTGGGCCAGTTAACTAACCTTTTTTAGCCTAGTAGAAGCAGTTTCTTGGGAGACAAAGCCCAAGTACGAGCCAAGACCATGTCCACATATTTTTAAGGGACAATAATTTCGTTTTTCACGAACTTATGATCTACATCATCCTCTTTTGTTCTCAAAGTGGCGGAAACGAAATATTCGAGTCCCTCAAATGTGTCAATTATGATGATACTATATAATTCTCTTGTTGTTGGCAAGATATTATGCAAGAGAGATACACTTTTATATCTTGAAAAATCATGTTTAGTAAGAACCTCCTAGCTCCATCTATGACATAAGTCAATTATGATGAAAAGTATTTCACAACTTTGGGAACACAATCCCAAACATATTCTTGTACCACTATAGGTACAATGGATAGACCAATCATTACAGTTAAACCAATCAGCATAACATTGGCTGCTGTCTTAAAAAAAGAAGAGAAATTTTCCATTTGAGAAAGAAAAACTAAAAAGGGGAGACAATGACCAAAACAAAACTTTGGACCATATCACACTACTTCTGATCAAAATCCTAAAAATCATCAAAGCCAGAGGTTTGTATACATCAATTGCTCAAAGAAGCAACGAGCCAAGGTCAGCTAATAAACCCATGCATCCTCTTTAATAAACCATGTAAAGGCAAAGCAACAGTTATTGAAAGAAGGCACGGAGAATAAGCCTTGTCAATACAAGCTCTGAGTAAATATTGAGAAGAATGTTCGGAATAGGATAAACTCGATTCGTAGCATGGGATCACGCTTACGTCGAAGGCTATGGAGCTATGGCTCTCAACTCGCTAAAAGATCAAGAGGCAGCACTGCAACTCTCTGTTTTAAGATTCATGCTCTGTTTTTTTTTTCAAGTTCCTAAGCTATTAGCAATTTCAACACAAAGACAATTTCATTGTACAAAAAGTTTTGATTTGAATACTATTTTACATTCCATTGAAAAAAAAAAGAAAAATGGTTATGAGCCTAATGACTAGATCTTATACATATCGTTGTTCAAAAGGCTAAATCAAGCAAGTTAATGAACCAAAACTGGGCATACATATGCAAAACAAGGTAAGGACTAGAGCAATATATAAATATTGCATGTAATAATTCCAAAAGAAGCGATCCAATAAAGACAGATATGAAAAATCCACAACAATTGCAAAAAAAAATCACTTAATATAGTTTGTTGTGAAAGACAATGATTCTCTTCTCACCACATCTTGACTTCAGTCCATCCAAAAAGCTTACCTGATCAAACCAATCAAATTTGAGTTTTATTTATTC